CCCCCCCCCCCCCCCCCCCCCCCCCCCATCCGCCTAAAGTTAACTAAAGCCTCGAAAACTAATGGATAATTTTCAGGTTGTACTTACCGACGACGACGACAACACTGCTGAATCGAGCTGTGCCCTTACCGTCAAACTTCCTGGAGGAATTGAAATCGTTAAAGGACTCGAAGACACTACTGTACCCCAGAAACAGACCGGCATTCTTGAAATCGAGACCAACCGACCACCGAAGCAGGTCAAATGGTACGGATTTTTTTACAACTTCGTTTCATAGACGCATTCCGCGATAATCGAATGGGCGTGGATATGGACGGAGACTTGTGGCTATTGCGCATTCCCAGTGATACGCTTCTCCCAATACGGTCGCGAAGAGCAACGTATCAATGAGAAGTGTGCAATGGTAGTCTGTCTCCGCCCATTTCCCCGCCCATCTTGTTACGGCAGAATGCTCTTTTGACCGTGTGACGGAATGAAAGGGACAGAATCAAAGCCCTTGATCTGGTTCTTCTCAAGGTACAAAAATGGCAAGGAAATCACGCCTTCTGACAAGGCACAGCCGAAGAAGGTAGACGATAAGAAGTACCAACTAGTGATTCCTGATGCCGGAAAAGATGACTCGGCTGATTACAAGGTACTGTCCCGATCAATACCTAAAAACCGATTATTCAGAAGAGGTGTTTTCCAGGTTGTGCTTACCGACGACGACGACAACACCGCTGAATCGAGCTGTGCTCTTACCGTCAAACTTCCTGGAGGAATTGAAATTGTTAAAGGACTCGAAGACACTACTGTACCCAGAAACAGACCGGCAGTGCTTGAAATCGAGACCAACCGACCACCTAAGCAAGTTAAATGGTAGGGCATCCAACCTTCCTACGGCTATTCCAGGAGCAGTGATCGGTGGTTTCATCAGATTGAGCTTGTCCATGTTCAGGTACAAGAACGGCAAGGAGATTACACCATCTGACAAGGCGCAACCGAAGAAGGTCGCCGATAATAAATATCAACTGGTTATTCCCGATGCTGCCAAGGAGGACACTGCCAATTACAAGGTACAGTTTTTACTGGGCCTTATTCAGGTTAGAAGTGACGTTCGGGTCCTCCACACTTACGTAATAAGGGTAAAACCGTGGGCCGTATCGAAGATCTTGGCCAAACCTCGAAGTATGGAGCTACTAGATCTGGCCAAAGCCCATTCCAAACTGGACACCTCTCTTGGCAACCTACCCAACCAACCGCAGTCAACGGTGTTCGTATCGGTGGAGCCAGACCTGAAGCTGTACCTTCTTCATTTGTCCGACCAGCGCCTGTGAAAGGGTCAAAACGGGGCACTCAATTAAGGAAGGCACAGCGGCAGGGCCCGGCTCCGCCCATACGACCGGCGTGTTCTCAAGAAGGCTATCAACAGCTGGTTCTCTTCAGAGGACTTCCTTACTGGAACCCTCTGCCTTTCCGCTCGTTCATCTAACCTTTGCCAGTCCCCCCCATCTGGCCCCCTCGGCAAGGGCAGCTCTTTCCTGCGCCATATAGGCCGCTTTCTCATAGCACCTCTACTCTGCCGATTGATATTCGAAAACTCTTATCAATTCAGGTCGTGCTCACCGATGATGACGACAACACAGCCGAATCGAGCTGCGCTCTCACTGTCAAACTACCAGCTGGCATTGAGATTGTCAAAGGCCTCGAAGATGCTACAGTACCCAAAGGGCAGAAGGCTATTCTTGAAGTGGAATCAAGTCGGGCGCCGAAACAGGTCAAATGGTAGGTCTTTGAACATTTCGAATGGGTATCTTTGAGAATTTAGCCATTTGCGTCACAGTGTCAATCTATGAATGTAATCGATTATTGATCACTGTTGATCCACTAGGACGGGTTTCATTCTTTCTCGCATTGAAGGTACAAAAATGGAAAAGAACTTTCACCGTCCGATAAGCCAGAGGCAAAGAAGGTGAACGATACCAAGCACCAGTTGGTCATTCCCGATGCCAGCGATGAAGACACTGCCGACTACAAAGTGAGGCACTTTTCCTATTCTTTCCCTTCGATGCCTTTATTGGACCCCTTCGGCCATAGAATACCTTATATCTATTCAGGTGGTGCTCACCGATGATGACGACAACACAGCCGATTCATTCTGTGCTCTTACCGTACGACTTCCAGACAAGGAGCCGAAGATCATCAAGGGACTTGGTGATCGTACTGTACCAGTCGGGCTACCAACCATCTGGGAAGTGGAGGTACGGGTTTCGCACGACGATTTGAATTTCTTCAGCGAACAACAACTTTCTCTTTCTCTGCAACTAAGGCAGCGTTCATAGTCCTCGACACCGGCGACCGCGCGAGCAGCAAGATCAATACGTATCTGATCCTCAGCAATCTTGTGATCGCTGGCATCGCGGCGTGAACGCTCTCTTTTCAGATACTTATTGTCAAAATAATATTCTTTGCTACCTTAATAACCTTTCAACCACTTACCGGCCAACTTCAGACCGAAGGATCCCCACGAACCGTCAAGTGGTACAAGAACGGCAAGGAATTGGCTGGAGCTACGGCGGCACAGGTGAAAATCTCAAAGGTCGACGACAACCACTACGTGCTTGAGGTGAGTCAAAGGGGCGTAGTTTTCTTCTAGTAGTTGACGTCTTAGCACCCTTGATGGATCGAATTATTCAGATTCCTAAATGCGCTGTTGACGACACAGGTGACTACAAGATTGAAGTGGAGAATGATGCTGGCAAAGCGAACAGCAGCGGAAAGGTGAGTGCAGAGTTTTCTCACCATTGACTATCTATCGACCACATCGCGAGATAATCGACTACTTTTTAGCTCACTGTGGAGCCCAAGCTGACATTCCTCAAGCCACTCAAAGACCTCGAGATCACCGAAGGCGAAAACGCGGAATTCCAAGTGGAAACCAACGCCAAACCGAGAGTTGTGAAATGGTACGCATAGCCTCTGCTTGAGTTACTTGACGCAGCTAGTTGGTGGCTAAAAAGCACGGTCCACGTTGTTCGTATGGGCGGAGTCATGGACGGGAACGGTCGGCATTTATCCCTTTCTCCACTTGTGCGGAACCGCAAAGAGGACGGACGTGCCAATGACAAAGGTATATCGGCTAAGCGTTTCCGCCCATCGACTAGCGTGGACTGAATCCGACCAGTCTAGAGGCTATTCTAGATAAAGATAATTGAGATCTTATAATAAGGATCTACGATACCTTTATAGTTGCCTGGCAACGTAAAGGTGACTGATTTCCAGGTACAAAAATGGCCAGGAGATCGCCCCAGATGCTCGTTTCGTCATCAGCGGCGAAGAAACCAAGTACAAACTGGTTATCAAGAATGCTACAAGGGAAGACGCCGCTGAGTACAAGGTTAGTTCGAATTTCAAGTTAAAATTGACCGTATTCAGCTCCACAGGCCTGCTGTTGCAGCCTCCAGAGGCCTTTATTGACTGCTTCTTCAGGTCGTTCTTACCAACTCGGCAGGTGACGCTGATTCATCCGCGAAGCTCACTGTCAAGAAGGCAAAACCAGGAATTCCAAAGATCATCAAGGGTCTCGAAGATCAGGTGAGCGGCCAGTTGGCGGTCTTCCGGCGTACTGAATAGTATATGCGTGTTCGCTGTGGATGCTGAAGCATGCCGGGGAGGCTGGGTTTAGCGGGAAGCCAGCCAGCTCTCCTTCAAGTGTTGAAGTGAGACAAGCAGCGACAGTCGGTGGAGAACGTGCTGTGGCCGCGCCAAATTCAGACAACTTAGCACGCTTCAGCTTCTGCAGCAGACAGGACTTTGCCTTGCTGATCTCCTGGGTCGAGAGTTTCTTCATTTGTTCCTTCCCGAACGATTCATTCCCTGGATGGGATCTCATCATAGAATTCGGATTTCTGTGCCTGTGTGAGAAGCCGCTTTTTCTAGGACACTCATTGTGCCGTAGCCTTCACTCAGTGGGAGCCGTTGAACTCCAACCTCACGTCATTTCTCCTGGTTTTTGCCTATCTACTGAAACTTACGAGCGCTTTTCGGCTTCGGGGAGGGGGAGGGGCACTTTGCAGTTGCACTTTCGCCAATCCTTTTGAGATTTTATATCAGCTAACAGCTCACACCTTGGCTAGACCTTTATACCCTTGCGAAACCCCGATGTGGTACTAGTGGCCCTTTTTGGTTATAGGAGCTCAAATGTCTTCACAAGGTGACCTGCACAATCTTACAAGCTTCTCTGAGTACCATTTGATGTCCCACCAAGCCGAACTCTACACAACGTACATGTTACTAAAGTACTGCTAATCAGCTCACGTTCAGGTAGTGGCCAAGGGTGCTTCACTCGTGTTCGAAGTCAAAGTCGAAGGAGAAGTGGACGAGTTGCGTTGGAGTAAAGATGCCACGCCCATCACAGCTGGAGCCAATGCCATTATTGAGAAGATTGATGACAAGACGTAAGCAAATTTTAATTTTACCCAAACAAGCATGAAAAAACACTTTTCTATCAATAAAAACATAATGCATGGTATATGAACTTCAAGGGGTACTGTCCCCTTCCCAGTGGTAGATAACGTTCAAGGAGTACTGTACTTCCCACAACTTACCGAATTTTCCGAATTGTATCTCGAAAACATCTACTTTCAGTTACCGCCTAACTATTCCTAAGGCAGATCTTGGTGATGCTGGTCACTACACAGTTGAAGCCATCAATGAAACTGGAAAGGTTGGGAAATTTTGCAGTGCCTGGCCTCAAAATTAGACCAATTTCCCTTTTACAGGCCGCATCTGACGCCAAGGGAGAAGTAGATGAGAAGCCAGAAATCGTCAAAGGACTCAACGATGTGGAAGTTTCTGAAGGTGACGACGAAGTGTTCAAGGTGGAGGTCTCAACCCCAGTCAGGACAGTCAAATGGTAGGTCCTGCCCATAAACCAGGCCGATTATTCCGAAGAACTGTCAAAATGACGGTTTCAGGTATAAAAATGGTCAAGAGATCAAGCCATCGACTACATCTTGAACCGAAGAAGATCGGACCAAAGAAATACGAACTTTCCATCAATAGGGCCCAGCTTGACGATGGTGCTACCTACAAGGTACCTTTTTGGCCGCCTAGCTCACAAATCAATACTGATCAATTATTGATCCTAGGTGGTGCTCTCGAATAGCGCGGGTGAATGCGATTCATCAGCTCAACTGACGGTCACTAAACCGAACATTCTGAAAATGCTACAGGGCCTGAAGGATATTGACGTTGAAGAAGGACAACCAATTGAAATGAAGGTGACTTCTATATTGATTTCGGTCTTCGAGTTATAGCTCTTATTGATTTACTTGTTGATATTCGAAAATTGCAGGTGAAAGTCGAAGGAACTCCGAAAACTGTCAAATGGTACAAGAACGGTGTGGAAATGGCGCCTACGGATGCAGAGATGGTGAGTAAAGCGCGGAATCCCGTATTGGTAGTCGCTCGTAAATCAATAATCGATTTTTGTAACTTGCAGAAGGAAAGTCCTGAAACTGGCGAGTATTCATTGTTGATCCCGCAGTCGAAGAAGAGTGACGGTGCTGCCTACCGTATAACGTTGGCCAATGACAGGGGTGAGATCTACAGCGGAGCTGTGGCTCACGTCAAGGTAAGAGGCCCCTGAGATATTCAGAAGTTGAGGACAGGAGTAGCTGGAGTATTGTCATTCCACATTTTGTAGATGAAGATCTGGGCGGCTCTTTGACGTGGAGGGGCATTTTGCACTTTCGCCTAGTTCCTTTTGTTAGGTCACATTAACAGGTTCCACTCCGGTCAGACCTGTGAACCCTTGTGAAGACGCGAAATTGTTCGAGTGAGCCACTTAACGGATCACGGTGGCGTATAAAATCCTAGCTGAGTACCACTCTTTGCCCCCTCCTAGCCGAATAGCGCCTTTAAATCAGCACTGTAAGTTGAATAATGAACAAATTGCTACCCTTGCAGATGCCAAAAGCCAAAGAACTCGCTATACCGGCGAATTTCCTGTCACCCTTGGAAGATACCGAAGTTGTCGAAGGAGAAACCCTCACGCTGAAGTGCGTTGTGGCTGGAGAACCATTCCCAACACTCACATGGTAAGTAAAGAAACTCTTTTAACAACTAATCTCCTCATATTACAAGCATTCCTATAAGAAACTACTCAATTTTGCGCTAAGCGGCTGTTATTGAATACATTCCGCGCTAATTGTGTGGGCGGAGTTAGCGTGGCCCTCCCGACTAAAGGTGGCTCTTCTTATTTCTCTTTTCGAACGAGGCGCCTGCAACTGTCAATGAGACTGCGCTTTGTGACTATGCCCAGACGATCACCGTGGAGTTTGCCATCAAGGCTCTCTTCCCAGCGGGCACAATTCCCACCCCAGGCAGCTTTGCCCGCCTTTTTGAACCTTGGATAGCGAACGGATAATAGTTGGTGGTTTTCCTGAGCTATAAAGTAGGTTCGTGCTCACCACGTCCCTCCAACACCATATTCTTTATTCCAGGACCAAAGACGGTGTTGAGCTGGAGAAAGACGATCGTCTAACGATGCGTGTCGCTCTTGATGGAACGGCTACGTTGCGTATTCGTGACGCACGCAAATCCGACTTCGGACAGTACCGTATCACTGCGAAGAACGACAGTGGAACTGAGTCCAGCAGCTGTCAGGTGGGCCCTTCTTTGATTACCAGTTTGCTATACTCAAAATTTAACAAATTAAAAGCCAGTAATGATCATGAGGGCGGTTTCATCAATTTATTTTCAGGTAACCGTCAAGGACAAGGGTGAGGAGCCATCCAAGCCACGTTTCATCATTCCACTCAAGTCCTGTGAAGCTGAGATCGGTGAAAAGAAGGAGTTTGAGGTGAAACTGCGAGGTTTCCCCAAGCCCACACTTCAATGGTAAGTTGTCCCTAGAATAAGAGAATCGAAAATATTGAAAATGGTACTAAATAGTAAACAAATAGCAAACGATTATTCGTGAAAATCAGGAGAAAAACCGTCCACTTGTAGCAGAAGGCTGGTGTACGGGGAAGAAGAGTAGGAGGGACTCTCTCCAGGGTACATTGTACGCTGGGGATCTCAAACAGGGGGTTGTATTTGGCCGCTGTTTGATCTCCCTCTATTGGGTGTCCTACAACTATTCATATACCCACCCCTCGACAATCTTTTTTTTTCGGAAAGTGTATAATTTTTCCCTGAAAAGTTGTAGAAGGTGCATAAGGGGGAATGGAGATGGTAGGTAGGATGCGGTACAGTGGGGGGACATCGTACCGAAAGAGGGAGATTTGAGGGGGGGGGAGGGGGAGGGAC